ATAGTCTTTGTATTATGATGAAAAATAGGCAAAGAACCCCATTGTATAAGCAGGTCTATTTGTGCCTTACTCTGGCATACCCCTGAAGATTAGCTTCATGTTAACGAATTGGCAACTTGCACAGGGTGTAGCAGGGCTTTTCAAACATGGATATTCCACATGGGGGATTCTGGTAGCCTTGTTTAGGACAAGGAAGAGATGAGTGATCTGGTGGCTTCATTTATATCTTCTCAAGAGTAAGCAGAGGTGTATGTGGATGATTGAGACCACAGATTCTGGGATTTGCCATTCACACAATACCCTAGAGGTAGAAGATTGTTTGAGAATTGAGTCCCATGGTTACAAGGTGGGTAATGTTTGTCTGTTTAATTCTGTAAAGCAATCATACAGACAGAGATAAAGTTGATTTGCTAATACATAAGTAAAGACCTGGAGAGGGAAATGTGGTAAGTTTTCCTAGCATTAAGATTCAAAGCCCAAATCAGATATTAACAGTGCACATGCTGGAAACCAGTTCTTGTAACAGCATTTGTAAGTAATGTGGCCTGCATTAATCCTTAAATTTGACAGAATAAAACTCAATCCATCATATCTTTAATCTTATCTGGCAGTAAGCATAACTTTTATAAGAAAGAACTTTTATTGTCAAGAAACATGTAGCACTGATAATTTTTAAGTAGAAATGTGAGTAACTCTTGGGTAGTAGGCAAATAGTCCATGCAAAGCAGTCCAGGAACCAGCAGGGCTATTCACAGAGCGGAGAGGTGTATTTTTTTGCGGTGCCAGTGAGAGCTGTGAGGGCAGGAGCTTTGCACACTCTGCCAGGATCAGTCAGGAGCTCTGACACGCTTGTGGGGATGAGTGTTATGAGATTCATGAGAGAACAGCAAAATGAAACGATCTGCAGTCTGTTGAAATAGCAGTCTTCGTGCGATACTACTGCAATCGCAATTTGTCCCCCTTTTTGCCAAAGTAAGGTGATTTTACACCACTTTGCTATTTGTAGGCAGTATTTCACAATTGTAACTGCCAGTGAAATGTACTCAGTTTGTACTAATTGAGAAAATTATGTTAATTGATCTTTTAAACTGTGTGTGACTATAGTAGAAACTTGAACGTTTACATTTTACGAACCTGATGCTAGGCTGTACTTGTGTACTTGCATGTGTGTGACACTTGGTTATAAAACAGAAGGAAATAAAATTAGATTTTCCTGACTTTCGTATTGGAAGTTGTTAGAGAAGTAACTTCTTGGTAATGTAACTTTTGGTATTACATTTCTGTGTTATTTTAAGGAAAAATGGAATAGTTAAATGGTAAAAAAAAAATAAAAATGGAGTGAACCTTTAGCAAGAGTAACTATTATTATTTCCTTTTTAGAAGTCCCCTATTTTTCTTTCTCTTTCTTCACATTTAGCAAAGGAATGGGAAAAGACCTTGTAAGTGAAGCTACTCCCTGCAACTGGACAGCCCATGTTCATTCAAGCAAGAACAAAATTTGGGTTGTGTTACGTCATAAAGCACTTGAATAATACAAAACCATTGAAACCAAACTTTATTAAACCTTAATGAGATGTCACCTTTGAGCGTAGGATAGATCGAAATAATACTAAAACAAAGACTTCTTTTTTTCTTGTAACATTACAAGAGAAAGAATGCAGTTTCTCTTTCAGCTGTGTAGTACTACTGCTGAAGTAGTGTATCCTCCCATGCACTGCGAATAGCGGATTTACAGCTATGTTAGTGTTAAAGAAAAATTGATTACCAGTCTTACTCCTTTTGATTTAACATTATGCTGTATATGGTGATTGTCATGCTTTTTGCTCAGCTGTCTCAGTAAATGCCTTTCTTTAGCTGTAGTGAAATGCATAAGCAACTCTTGCTTGAAATTGGAAATTTAAGGGTGAGTGTTCAAGTTCTTACAGATACACAATAATTCTGTTGTGAAAACAACTTAATATAAACAGTTTATAGGACTTCAGTAAACTGAAGGCAAAGTATTGGGTTTGACTTTACTAGGATTGTCTTTAGTCTCTACTTTGTCTTCAAGAAAGACAAAAAAAGAAGAAAATCCCCATCTTTTTACATAGTCTTACCTCTTTGTACTTTGCTTAATAGCCTTTACAAACCTGAGTTCTAGCAGTTTATACTTGTAGTTCTTGGCCTCTATGATGAAACTTTCTTGACTAGAATGTCAAGAAAGACTGTTCACCTTTGTCTTTTTTAAAACTGCTATTCTAGCCAGCATTCTGGAGTCTTCCTCTGCAAGGCTTTTGTCTTTGTAGGATCCAGTGTCTAATCACTTTCACATCTTTTACTTAAAAGCCTTCTCTACGTTCAGACCTCCATGCTTATAAGTACGTTTCACTTCCTTGACTAGTTTTCTTACCAGACTTTGCCTTTTTAAGGTCTTAAATCTTAGTCATCAATATGCTTGCTTATCCTTTCACTGAATTTAATCATGCATCCCAGTATTATTTTTATAATTGGCTCTTCTATACTATTCTCCTTGGTTACTAAAACCAAATCTAAAATAGCCTTACATCCCGTTGGTTCACTGACAACTGAATTAATTTGTCATCTATGACCAAAGGAAATAACTGGGTCTTGTTTAGGTCTCTGATTAGGACTGGTTGTTTCCAAGTCTGTATCTGGGATATTAGGCTCCCATAATAACACAATTCCTAGTAGTGTTTGTTTATCACCAGTAATGTTTCATTTTGTTTCATATCTGAATCTGACCTATGGGACTGATAGCTGACTCCTGCAATTATCCTATGCAGCCTCTTTTCCTAAAATAATTTGAAACCACTCAGAGCACATTAGTTTCTCTATCCCATTTTATAGATGCTAAGTTAAAAAAATAACAAAATTAGCAGAACAAGGAGGGAAAAGTTAGTTAGGCAAGGGAGAAATAGTAAGGGTTTCAGAAAAAAAAAATTGAGATTAACTGAGAAAATTATGAGGGCAGAAGCAGTAAGGAAGCATTTCTGAGAAGGCAGGAACCACAAAGGAAAAATCTGTACCCTCCACAAGTGATTTTAAAAAAGGTGGTGTCTGAAAATTAACAGTAGACACACAAAAACAGAGAGGCAGAGGACTCGGACTAGTCTTCTAATGGCCTAGTGAGGGGAAAAAAATGAAGAAAAGCTGTGGAATAATTAAAAAAGAAGGCTATGCTATTTTCAGTTGGGCACTGAAACACTTGATAAAACAAGGTTAAATTGGCAGGTTCAGCCAAGTTTCCTCCTCCCACTGTAGCCTCATGTGAGGAAATCAGAGTCTGCGTCTCAGATAAAGAAGTCCTAGAAGTCTAACTGGAAGGATGTGGACGCATAAATGAAGACCAAGTTTTCTAGTGAAATAGATACCAGATAAGAGCTTATAGGTCATGTCACAGAGATGGTGGGAGACATACACAAGCATAAACAAAAGTGCAAGCAAAGATTCACATGTGCGTGCTTTATAGAGTTATCTTAAAATTTTGAAATGTAGCCACAGATGTTTTGTCAGAAGAGAGAAGAAATTAGATTGTAAATCTTTGTGATGTTGATGTATACGAGCAAATGAGAAGTTTAAAGGTAGCACCTCAAAGACAGATGTAAGATTGCTTGTAAGGAGGCAACAAAAAGAGTAAGGATGAAGAACACAGAACTTGGGAGCAGCATGCCAGACATAAGGTATGAATGTAGCGAAAGCAGTGCCACTGCACCCTAGGTGCAGTAGTTTAGTAGCTGCACAGAAAGGATCACAGCACATGGGCATCATTCGACATAGTCCCAAAGTGTTGGAGGCTGAGGAAAGATAGAAACATTAAAGAAAGACCAGCAAAAAGTAGTTGTTTTTTCTGCATCACACAGTAAGACTTCACAGCTATTGTCAACAAGCTGCAAGTCTGGAAATGGCCAATGATACTGTGCAAAAATGGAAGTAGTGAGGGGTAAAGAAGAAATGCTTTACTAAAAGATTAGGTTCTGAAAAGAATCTGAATGGGAAGAGGGGGAAGTTGTTTTTGAATAACTGAGTAAACAAATGTTTGCTTTATATACTTTCAAAAGGTAACACGGGCAGAACTATTGACTCCAGCAGTAATGGAAGGGAAAGCTGATGGAGTGAGAGCAAACAAGAGGGACATTTAAGTAATAGGTGATTTTGGGAAGAGGGGTGGTTTGTGACAGATACAGACAGGGAAGTGAAGGAGAGAGGAAGAGGAAGGTGGACAGAGCTCTTGAAGGGTTGAGGTTTACAGAAATGTCTCTCTGTAGTTCAGCTCTGTTGTCAGTGGAAAGGTGGTCTCTTACAGAATGACTCAGGAGCCCAGTATCTTTGAACTGTCTTTTGAAGAAACTGGTTTCTTTGTTGCCTATACAGGAAATTTGGGGTATTTTGCCCACAACACTGGTGTCCAAGTTCATGCCACAGTTATTCTATGCAGTTACTTTGTAACCCACTGTACATACTGTTGGGTGTGAAGTGGTTCCAAGGATAAGTGGGAAGCAGAAGGGGGGGGGAAAGGGAGGAAATTAATATGGCATACATCAGAGTAAAGAGTAAGCAGCCATTTTAGCAGCGTAGAAAGAGCAGAAATATATTTGTAGCCTGGGAGGCAAACCTGTAAGAATGATTTTGTTAATTGTCTGCAAAGTTTTTGCAAGGGTGAGGTTAGTATTTCAGGAGTTCTGGTCTTGGTTTGTTTGTGCAGTTCTTGTCCATTCAACTTCCCCTTGCTGCCCATCTGGGTTATTTTCATCATGCTATTATGTAGTGTTCCCCTGCTCTGTTAAACAACTGTCATAATCTTCTGTTCAAGTAGCTACCTTGTGTAAGAGAAGAAATTACTCCATTATACAAGAGCTCAGTCATGTCTGATACACTCCTAACTTGACATAGTGTGTAAAAGTCACACACTATTAATTTTTAGCAACTTGTACAGGTACTTTTGACCATTGACTCTTAAGCACATTTGTCATGGGCCATTTTCTCTAACCTTTCTGTTTCAGAATGACTATCGCAAGCTGTCTATGCAATGCAAGGATTTTGTGGTTGGTGTTCTTGATCTTTGCCGAGACTCAGAAGAAGTGGAAGCCATTCTGAATGGGGATTTAAACTCGGAGCCAGTTGAAGCACAGAGACACAGAGCATCACTGAGCCGTGTGAAGCTGGCCATTAAGTATGAAGTCAAAAAGGTAACTCCTCATAGCCAGTGCTTTCAGACAGTGTAATAGGAACACAATGGCATCTCATTATTCCACAGGTGTTATGAACCGGTGGTCAGATGCATTACTGAGATGTAGTGTGTGTAATCAGGTTTCTCACAAGGCAGAAGCTGGCAGAAGGAGACTGCAGTGGAGGAGTTTAGTTTTATCTCCTTTCCACAGCAAAGAATTGGCAGGAGATTTTAATGACATAAATCAACTGTGCTAGTGAGGTTGTACACAGTTGGTCAGATCTTTCTCCTGATTAAGCCAAAAGAAGAGATTTCAGTGGAGCCAGATTTTCACTCAGTGAATGTAAGGATGTGTCTTCCTGCTGGGCTGCGTGATAATATCTAATCCAAAGAGAGGACTATCCTTCTGAAAGTGTTGGTTTCAACCAATGAAAATAACTGGTTTGTTCATTATTTCTTTTTACTACCCTTGCTTTCTGCCTTAAGTAACTTATTCGGGCAAGTAAGTTCTAGGAGGTCTTGCAGCTTTCTGCTAGTATTTCTATCAACACATAGGGGGTTTTTGGGTGTTTGTTGTTCGGGGTTTTTTTGGTTTGTTTTTTTTTTTTTTTTAAATAAAGATCTTCCTTTTACTACTTTGAAAAAGGAAAAGAGAATATCTAAGTTGTCAGTAAGTATATATTTTTAAAATTTATTTTAAAATATGACAATAAATCAAACAGCTCATCTGCAACTGTGTGGGTTGTAGTGAGAAATTCTACCTGATTTACTGTGCGTGTTCCTTTACAAATATTTTAAAATTCAGGCCTGAAAATGTATGGAATATATTTGTGGCTAGTTGATCAGTTCATTTCAGTTCTTTATCTTAGCACCTGTATATATCAGTGTTTTGTAAAATGCAATGTATTTTCAGTTGACGCCCCTCTCAAAGTAATTTTTAATAAGTAGTTATTCTGTGAATGAATGTTACATGTTGAAAAATGGAGCTGTGTATCACACCTTTGCCATAATCCATATCCACTTATCATAGCAGTTTTCAATATAGAGCTATGTTGTTCTTTTCAAGATCCCAGTACCCTAGCACAGAAAATAGTTAATACTGTGTCCTGCTGTGAGAGGACTCAAGAAATACGGCAATGCCTATGCATTATTTACAGCTACCTATTTATATTACATGGTCAGCATAATTTCCATTCTTAATAGCCATTATAGTTTCATCATCTCTGCAAGAAGTCTTGTGTCTTTCAGAACAAATAACACTGTATTCTGTGGCCACCTGTTGAGCCAATCTGCTGTATAAAATGATTTGTAAGCAACCTGCCAGAACACCTGGGAAATGGTGTTTATTATGTCCCCAAAATAAGGTTAACAAAAATGTAGCTCCCAAACAGCAAATCATTGTTTCCAATATAGAATTGACCTACAGCAGATAAGTGTATATTAATTACCAAAATTCAAGGTAAATATATACAATTGTTAAATTAATTAAAAAGAATGGAACAAGGAAAGAATCAAAGTGCCCAAGCATGTTATCATACCTAAGTAACATATGAATTCTTTATGCTGTTGCATATTAATGTTACCAAACCTTTGCTGAGACTTGTGTCAGCTTTCTTGCTCTAGACTGGTTTTCTTCTAAGAGGTCATTGCCACTGATGAAATTCATTGCTGAGCAAAGGGCCACACAGGTCTGTTAAGAATAACAAAAATCTACACAGTGCAAAAAAGACAATTCCATGTAGCAAACTTGTTCTCCTCTCTTGCAAGAGAGTAATTATTTGTAGATCAACTCCAATTCATGACAAATACAGTTCAGAACCTACCAGACTAATGATCTTGGTGGAAGGAACTATATAGATGGTGCAGAGTTGTTACCATATTCATACATGTGCTGTTCCATGTAAATGGCCATTACAGAGGGCATGACAAGGCTTGAGCCAGGAAATGTCTCTGCCGTGGTGGTCCTTTGATGCTGGTATTGCCTCTCCTACAACTGTGGCAGATTACAGTGATATTCTGACTGTAGAACAGGTTCAGAGGTGGGAACTCCACGCGGGCTGCTTTCAGCACCGTAACTGTAGGAAGAGGACAAGGATATGGCTTATGTTTCTTAGCTTTCAGTATTTCTAGCTGCGCTTCTGGGTCAACTACATTAAGGTCAGTTCACTGTTGGAAGACAGATAGTACAGCCGAACAGAAGTGCAGGTCCATGAAATGGTTAATGAGCCATATGCCCTTTTCAGAAGGAAAAGAGACAGGAAAAAAGCATGTGACAAGTGAGCAAATGTGCTCGCAAGTTCACTGCTAGGGAAATTGAGTTTTTAACTCCATTAGTAGTGAAACTCTTATACTTAATACCCTAGGCAATAAAGTGTAGCCCATCTTGTAAACAGAATGTGATTTTGAAGCTAAGGTTCAGACTGAAACTGCAGCACCATTCGTGTAGGACTAAGGGACTTAAAAGAACTAAGGAAAACTAGTTAGAACAAGTAGTCTTGCTCTGTATGGTGAATTGCTGCTGCAACAGTGCTTGTAGTATTGTGTCTTAACTCTGTCTGTCTTTAGATTGCCAACAAAATTTCAGCGAAGTTGCTGACACTGGGCCAAGTTCTGCAGTTCTTGCTGAGAAAAAAGTCAGAGTGGAATTTTCAAGTGAAATTAGTAAGAATTTGAGTAAAACCACAGGATTTAATTTTCAAACACTGACATTTTGAATTGATAGATAAGAAATAAGATTCAAAATTCTCTTTGTATGTTGTGTGTTTGTGTATCAGAGTGTGCCAGTATCTGTTCCTGCTATGTCTAAATGCAGTCATTAGGATGTTAGGAATAAATAACATTATAACCACTCTTAGTCATACAGAAAAATATTTACATACTGATGAGTTGGTTCATGGTCATGAAACTGAATGCATTTGAAGTGTTATAGTCAATTATGCCTGGAAAAGTAGCTAAATTAAAATTGGGATTTTTTTTTTTTTTTTTTTTTTTGTGACCAGATACTGTCCTCATGCATCATTGTTGTTCACTGAGGTTTGGAATGGATCCTAAAATATTAGATAAATGTGATAATAAGATCAACATGTAATGAAATGTAAGAAACTGCATGGAAAGTAGGAGAGGAGAAATGCGGAAAGAACAAGGTTGTAAGATGATGTGATTGGTAGATGAAATATGATGTGAATCTACTGTCCTCAGAGGAGATGAAGCTGGGGGGGGAAACAAATAAACAGGGAGGGAAAAACATAGAAGAGGTCGCAGTTGCTGAAAACAAACCCAACAAAACCATAAATTCAAATATTTCAGCAGAGCTGGAGAGAAGGATGAATTTCAGAACTTTTATGGATGGGAGAAGTGACATGAGTTGCTCTGAGGACTTGGAAGTGGTGCATATTGTGCAGTTGCCAGCAGTTAAATAAGTTGCTAAGATCTTCTCGAGAGCCCTTAGACTTACTGCCAGAGAAGAACTTGCCATAACCATTGGCATCTTATTCACTAACTCCTCCCTTTTCTGGGGAAAATTATAGCACAGGCAGATCTCCTCTTAGTGTCAGATCAAAATGCTGATAGACCAGGAGGAATAAACCAGCACACAGCTCTGGATGAGATGCAAACAGATGGGCTGTTTCGTAGCCCTAGACAAGCTCCCTTAAAGCCTCTTTGCTGTTTCTCCCTGTTCCCTTTGGTAATGTGGCTGCTTCTTCTCTCTCCTCTTCCCTACAGTTTTAAGCCTGCTTTTTAAAAATGTCTTTGTAATTTGAAATAATTTACTTTCCTGTCTTTGGCCACAGTTAATCTGCTTTGGGATTTGTCCCTTGATGTCCTGAGGTGAGAACGAAATTTATCTTGGCAAAATAAAAGACTGATGGCATATGGCAGAATGTACAACACCACAAAAAACAGTTCCTTTTTTTTTTTTTCCCCTGTTCTTTCAAATGTGCCAGGCTGGCAGTTTTTATAGTGTGTAAGCTTCAAAGGTGACAGTCTAATAAAAAGAATACAAACATAGTTCAAGTTGACATTAATTTCTTAAAAGACTTTTAAAATATATTTTAATTAATTAATTTAATTAATCTAGATTAATCTTTTAATCTATTTGTTTCTGTTGGCCATTCCACTATAGGTACAAACTGCATTAACACGTAATCCAACTGGTTAATGAATCACACACAAAAATACTTCGGGACTTTCATTTTAGAGCAAAGTAGATTAAAATATGAAGATTGCTTCCCCTTTTTAAAGTTCAAGAAGGCAATTTACTAGGATTTACTAGTTATTGCCAGCCAATGTGACAAGTATATTACCAGATTTCTTCAAATTGCTGTGATAACTAGGCCATTTACTCTTGTGCTTAACTGATGTCCTATATGCTCTTATGATGTGGCAGTCTCACAGGACATGGTGTAATAGTAATAGCACTATTGATGAGTATGATAACACTTTAGAAATGGACTTCTCCAGAAATGTAAATATAATGGGAAAAGAAAATAGGGAGCTACAGAATTCTTCTTCCCTCCCACCCCTTAAGTTTCTCCAGTAGCAGCACCCAACATGGGCTACGTGCTCCTGGTTCCATGATATGATCCTGATGGAGTGGCTGCACACATTGCTTCATCTTAAAGAAATCCTTTAGAAATAGAGCAATACATGCTTACCCTTTAACAAATTCAATCAAAAGCAATTTTAGTAAAATAAAACTTAAAGCATATCTAAACAAATGTAGTTGTTGGCAGCAGCTTGTTTCATCATTCCGTAATTAATTTGGGACTCATTCCCTTTCCCTGTGAACGTACTGAAATCTTACGGAAGCTAGAAAAATAACATTTGCATGCATTTGCTGCATAGAAGAAGGATGGAAGTTAGCTGTTTGGTTGTTTTGGAGGGTTTTTTTTAGTGGGTACTAGATCCTTAATGTGTGCCAGTTTAGTATCTTAACATTTCAATCTCTGCTCTCTTTCAATTTTGGGACACTTAAGGAAGAATTGTAGAAGTTGGGGGCTAATGAAACTTATAGAAAAGGCTCAGGAGAGCAAGTCTGTGTTCTAATAACTGTTTGAGGAGAAGTTGAGCATTAATTCTAAGCCTATTTTTCCACTTGTCTGATTGTCTCTTCATGACTAGATCCTGTCAAATTCACTTGATGCCCTATTTCTTTGTCTTGATGTTTGTCTGGCGTCCCCCTCCCCTATTTTAAAGCAGTTTGTTACAAAAGTCCTTGATGATGTCTTGGCTCTGCTTAGTTAAGGTGAGCTGAAATTTTACCATTGACTTCAGCAGGCATCAGAGTTAGGTCAAAAGAGAGTAAGTGTATTCAAAATTCGTCCATGTCTGGGTACAAGAAAACTAAGTGCCAAAATTTGGGTGTAGGATTGAATGTTCCAAAAAGGGCCTGACATTCAGTGAATTGAAATTCAGTGGTAGCTGTGTATGCTTAGACTATTGACAATCAGGACATTCTTGTTTAAATGCCTAAGTCAACTTTTGGTCATTTTGTCAGAGACTATATTTAGTCAGATATTTGTACACATCTACTCTCGTGGTTTCCTTTATTATGTTTGATATCTTTTAGTCCTTCTGGTATAGAAATAAATAAACAAATACTTAATATTGATAAATAATAATGTAAACTAACCAGTAAAGACAAAAGGAACATTTCATAAAAGAATTCATTAAAAATAAAATTATCTTGCTCAGAAATCATTGAAATGTTTAGATTTTTAGTTAAAGTATACACCTCAGATCTTATTTGAGCCTTCTGCAGTGTGTTGTTAAGCTGTTAACAACTCATTAAAACACAAAGAATAGTATAAGACTATATAGTGCTAACAGTCTGAACATTCAGGGTCCTTTAAAAACTTAAAATAGGGAAAAAGGACAAGTTATTTTTTAAAAGTGTCAAATCTGAGGATTTAATATTTTTCAGTTGAGATAGTGTTAAAAAGCATGAACTTAGAGAAAATACAAAACTGTAGAGCAAAATAGTCTATTGTATTTTGAGTCCTTAGGGCATCATCCAAACCATAAGATCATCTTTTCATCTGGTTCACAAAATGCAATTTCCTTGTATTACTGAATGCTAAATTTTATTTTCCACAAAACATAAAAATGTATTTCTAGTAAGTGGCTTCTGATTATTTTTCAAACCCCAAATACATCTAAGTAGAGGTGATAGCTAGCACCATTGATGGTAGTAAGAGAAAACAAACCCTTTGATTATTCATCTTTGTGTGGTCTGGTGAGGTTTACAATTCTGTGCTTCGCTTCATTTCTTGCCTCAGTAAGTTTTAGACTGAAAATGTATAGATGGGTAAGGAGGTACATGGAGCCTTTGTCAAAGAACCAAATCAAATGGCACTGATGATTGAGGAGGTCTGTGAAGATCATGTGCAGGAAGGGGAGAAGCTAATGGTGGATTATAGTCAAACCAGAATTTTCAGTCTCCACAGAAATTCTGCGTGTACCTTGGATCAGCTTGATTTGCTGAGAAATTGTTGGCAGTTAGGACTGAGGTTCAACTCTGACAGGATCCAGTTGGGTATGCGAAGCTGTTCTTTTAATAAAGGTTTCTATCAGCGAGTGTTATCCACACGTGCAACCGTGTCCCCAAAGTGCTGCTTTAAATTAGCCCAGTAGTTTTTTCTTTATTTATTAACCTTTATTTTGAAGAAAGGAGTAAAACCACAGTTGTTAAGGTCTAAATTAACACCAAATATTTAAGGCGATCATTATCTTGTATATAGCAGTTACATAAACCTTCTTATAAATGATAATATATCTTGGTTTTCTTTCTTTTTCTTTACAGTTTGTGGCCCATCCAAACTGTCAGCAACAGCTACTGACTATCTGGTATGAAAATCTCTCAGGATTACGGGAGCAGACCATAGCTATCAAGTGTCTGGTTGTGCTGGTTGTGGCATTGGGCCTTCCATTTCTAGCCATTGGTTATTGGATTGCACCATGTAGCAGGGTACTGAATTTTATAAATTATGTATCTTGTACTATTCTGGGAGCTGTTTTTCAATTTATGGCACTCAAAATGCAATATTGTACCCCTAATTCTGCTGCTTCCAAATTTTAACTAATTAACAATATTTTTAGTAATCTCTAGTCTTGAGCCAAAAGATGCTATTTGTTTTATTTGTACTGTAAAGAGGAGACCACAGTGCTGAAGTGTGAAAATAAACAGTTGTTAAGTTTAAAGAAAGAAAACAACACCACCTTTGTCTGAGAGCTTTTTTCTTTTTTAAATTTCTGTGGATTGTGCTCACCTCAATCTCTGCTATGCAATTGTATTTGTATTAGTAACATGGATTTTTTTTTTTTTGAAAGTCACCACTCAAATTCTTACTAGGTCTCCTCTGATGGCATCTTAAGATCTGATGCTGTTCCCATATAAACCATTAGCAGAACATCTGTTTACTTCACTGATACAGAACTTGAGAAATCTTAAGTGAAATATTTGTTATTCCTGCCCTAGGAGGTCTGTTTACCAGGTGAACCATAGAGCAGAAATTGAATTAAACGCAGTATTCCAACCACGTGGTGGGGTATATTTGTAAAAGAGTGCAAGTCTAAAGTCTTACCTCTTTAAAATAACGTGAAAATATATGGGTGCTTCCAGCTTTCCTGATGATCTCACAGTGAAAATAACAGCAGTTTCTTTGAAATCCTTATAGTCCTGGAACATGTGAACAAATCAAGCATATTGATAGATGTTTGGTAAATCAGAAGGAAGATTTCTCTGTTATAGTAACTTATTTAAAATTTTAATTAAATGTGCTTCTGTCCTGAATGTGGTCTTTCAATTTTATTTCCTTAACAAGTATACAGCAAAGAAATGTGAGTTTCACTTACATTTTGCTCTTGTAGTTCACTTCAGAAAGGATAAAATTTTGCTCATTTCCTGCATATTTCAAGGGAACCTGATGTTTTCTCTGGGTTAAATATTTATTTACTTTAAAGATAAACCTTTATGAAAACAGTGTAATTGTTGCTGTCATCATTCTCTGAAATGTCACTTTCCATGAATATCTGTAGCAAAGATATTCCTCACTCACAGCTCCATATCATAGAAACATATTAATATATTTTTAGCTGGTGTCTAATACGGAAAAGTGACATTTGTCCTTCAGCTTTAATTCCCAGTACCAGAATCACCTGACATTTTTCCTAGTGCTCATGTCAAATAAAAGTACTGTACATTCAGATCAGTTGTTTGATATTGTAATTTCAAAATGCTTTCTAAAGGTCAGGAGCAGGAAGGGAACCTGAGATTGTTTGCACAGGTAGTAAATGCTATTTAGTGTGTCTACTTAGTTCGTAGTAGCTGACCCCAGTTTCAGGAAAACCATGCCTTGAAATAAGCTACTTCCAGTTCCCCCTCTGCTTGGTTTTCTCTTCCTATATGATACTGCAGCTCTTCACAGGAGATTTTGGAATAGTGTAGAATATTGATGATGTAAGTGATAGTTTATCCCATTAGGACTGTATATTAACATTAATAAAAGTTGGACATTATGTGCAAAGCAGTATATAGTTCTGTTGTACTGAAGGAGACAGGAGAGATTTGGCCTTGAGGTATGCACCAGCTAAGATGAAGAAGTCTGTCTAGCATCTACCTTGTCACACCTTGTGTAGAGATGGGACAAGCCTCTGTTGTGGCTGGGTTGTTCTTCTTCCATGTCCTTCTACCAGGTGCAGATGTGAATGAAATCAGCTGAATTAATTGGAAAATAGTAATATTTCTGATCTTATCCTTAGTCCATTGTGATGGAACAGTCATTATTTTTACTAGACACAGGTTATTTATTTGGCACTTAGTGCTCTGAACATAGATTCTCTGGATGGAATATGGTAGCAAGAGATGAGAAGATAAGTCTGTAATTTTTTCCTAGAGCTGTAGTCATAGACAAGCTAATAGTAGGCTTTTCTTGGTAGGGAAAAAAAAAGCATTTTGCTACTTGGAGATTTCATTTATTTATTTTCCATGGGCTGGCTGCCACCCCCCATTGGTATTTGTGGGCATTGGATCAAACTCTTCCTGGTCATTGCCATTGTATGTTTGTAATTCCTTGGAGTGTTTCCCCTCAAACATTGCCATCTAGAGTTTATGGAATAAGCTGAACACTTACTAACAGGACAACATACTCCATGAGGCTGCCTTTGCGAGACTTTTGTCTGAAATGGTAAAGCATCGCAATTCACTGCACTTGGAAGAGTATCCTTTAAAAGTGAGGTTTCAGACTGTCCTGAGCTCTGAGTGCCCATTTATGGTTCTGGAATGCCTGATGAAAGAGTTTATTTCTTTGAGAAAACTGAGTGACTGCTTTCATTCTGCCTTTGCAGCTTGGAAGAATCCTTCGAAGCCCATTTATGAAATTTGTGGCACATGCAGCGTCCTTCATTATTTTCTTAGGCTTGCTGGTGTTCAATGCTTCAGATAGATTTGAAGGTATAACAACGCTACCGAATGTCACCGTTACCGATTACCCTAAGCAGATCTTTAGGGTGAAGACCACCCAGTTCACCTGGACAGAAATGCTGATCATGGTATGGGTACTTGGTAGGTATATTGCCCCTTCATCTTTATGTCAACTGTTCTCCTGCAGATATAATTTCTAAAAGAAAGGAGGGGAGTGTAGATCTCAAACCTTAGCTACAGCTGCTGCGCAGTTAGAAAAAAACCTTAGGGCAGATAACAGATAACATTAGAACTGGTGAGAGCACCAGAGCATCTCTGTGCTGCCCTCTCTTGCAAAAAATTTTGTTTGCTGATTTGCCACGCTGGTAATTCTGGCATTTGTAACAGGAGCACAGGTTTGCTGAAGAGAATGCCACAGAAATTATACTTTACTGAAGTGGTTTTCTTAAATAGTATCAGGAAGCCTACACTCTGTATGTGCCAGAAGGTCAGGAGTTGCTACTGCTCGGTGTTAATGTGCTTGCACATCAGTGCTTATGTGGCATTGCTGCTTAGCTAGCATTTGGGGAAATCACAGCTTCTACCAGTGTCAAGGGGCTAATGAGTCAGTTCTCATGACTCAGGTTCTTTCACAAAACCTGATCAGCTGTCAGTCTGTTTGAAACTCGGTATGGCAGAAAATGCTTTCTTCTAGCATTTTGTCAGAGTCAGGTGCTTTACGTAGCAAAATGTCAGCCACATGATAGCTTTTGCAGGCTGTGGAGGAGAAAGAAGTGTTCTGCGGCTGCTACGTGAAGGTGCCTCGCTCTGCCTTTCGAATCCCCTGTATCTCCTGATTTAAGCACTGCTTTATCTTAAATTATGTTAGGGTAGAAAGATGCATAGCCCTTGCATGCTGCCTTTTGGTAGTCCCAGCATATACTTGTGGGGAGCAGCCTCTTTATTTGACAGAAGGCAAGGACTGAGATTTTGGTGGTCTCTACGACTCGATCGCTGTGAGGAATTTCTTGGGCACTCGGAGAGAACCAGCCTCAAGCCAATCCACCGCGTGGCTGCTGTGCATAAGGTTGGGATGGCAGCAGTAACCCCTCTGAATTACCCAGCGAGGGAAACAAGAAGTTGTTTTCATTTCTTGTTGCAGGTATGATGTGGTCAGAATGCAAAGAGCTGTGGTTGGAAGGACCCAGGGAATATATTTTGCAGTTATGGAATGTTTTGGATTTTGGGATGCTGTCCATTTTTATTGCCGCTTTCACAGCAAGGCTTCTGGCATTACTGCAGGCAACAAAAGCACAACAGTATGTGGACAACTATATTGAGGAGAATGACCTCTCTGAGGTCACACTTCCTCCAGAAATAGAATATTTTACTTATGGTGAGTTTAACTTTTCTGTGACACAGATCTGAATATAGAAAATCTGGTAGGAGGCACTAACATTTCAAAGCCTTAAAATGAATATTTGCACGTGTTTGTGTTCATAGCATTGTCTAACCATTTCTGTCTCAGTATTTTTGTTTCTATGCTATTTCAAAAATAGTTACCATGACACTAACTTGACAAATAAGTTTGCCAATATATTAAAACCAAGCAATAGGCATAAGAACAAAATCAGTTCAAATGTAGCTGTCCATAAATCTGTTGTAACTGTTTATCCTACAGCTAAATTTGACCCTCTTGATTTTAAATATTTGCAAGCTACATTTTATTCTTGACTTAATGCACAACAGAAAAAATTTTTGATGTGACTTTTTGGTTGGTTCAGTTGTTGGATACAGTCATTCATATTCATAAAGATCTATCGACATTTCATGAGAAAGGAAGGATGCTGGCCCAGTAAAGATCTGCTCAGATAGAATAAAAGTACAAAACAGTTACTGCAGTGCAGAAATTGTAGTTAAAGATATGATGAATCTCTGTTTGCAACACCAGCAAAGGCTATATTTGCTGATGGTGTGTTTTAGCATAGACTTTATGAACTTCAGTGTGTTATAACAGCAGGCTTGGTTTTGTTATTTATGTTAATTGCTATATAATAATGTGAATCTTTACATATGTAAGTACACATTTAGAAACATGGTATTTTGATATCAAACACATTTTAATTCAGTGATGTTTGGCTAAGATGGTGTATTAATTCACATAATAAACAATTTATGAATTATATATAAACTCAAATTGTTTCTGTGCACGTTGTGTGTAAAAACCCACAATCTTTCTTCCATAGATGTAAATGGTAAAAATCTTCATGATTTCAACAGGAACTAGGTTATATTCTGAACTTGCAACAGTGGCAGAAGCTTGGTGTGATTAACTTCAAAATATGAACAAATTTCTGGCTTTAGCATAGATAGTTAATAATACAGTCATGTTAAGAAAAGCAATAAGGAATTATTTATTGTTAGGTAGTTCAAGTTAAAATGCAAACTGTAGAAGAAAAATGTCATGTGTCTTCAAGTATAGTTTTTCTTCCAGCAACAAGTAATGTTACTTATATTCGTCATTTGTGAGTTAAAGGAAATAGGAATAGAGTAGCAACTACTAGACTCTCCAAATATTTGTCACAACTAAATTCAGACATGTTCATGGAAAATACTACCAAGATTTATTTTTAAACATTGTGATAAATGAGTAACTCGTTATATTTACCCTTATATTTCATATCTTCCAGCTAGAGATAAATGGCTCCCATCTGATCCTCAGATAATATCTGAAGGCCTTTATGCAATTGCTGTCGTTCTTAGCTTTTCTCGGATTGCATATATCCTGCCTGCAAATGAGAGTTTTGGGCCCTTGCAGATTTCACTTGGAAGGACTGTAAAGGACATCTTCAAGTTTATGGTCCTTTTTATTATGGTATTTCTTGCATTTATGATTGGAATGTTCATACTATATTCCTACTACCTTGGAGCCAAACTAAACCCAGCCTTTACAACGTAAGTACAGAGTTATGTTTAAGTATAAAGCCAGTATGAAACTTCTAGTTTTTCACTAAGGTAACAAAGTCTGTGAGATACTGTAAGCTGTCTCCTAGCATTAAAGCAGCATTGAAGACAGTTGAAATCGGTGAGAAATTGGGTATCTCAGAACCTGAGACAGCTGAATACAAAACCCCAATTCTTTCCTACTTGTATAATGGAAGCTTTCATTGCAGTCTAAAATGATTTTACCTTTATATTATCTTAATCACACAGACTTGTGGACAACCAATTGTAGAAGCTCTTGTGAGGAGTGCAGCGGTTTCCTTCCCGTCAGCCCCATTTTTAGCTTTATTAGGACAGGGAAGGTCTGCCCCCTGCAGAGTTAGACTGGAAAATAATGAGATGAGAATATGCTTCATCTTAAAACCTGGAAATATAATACCTTTCTAATCCTTGGACTGTTGTTTTGTATATATTAGTACAACTATATCATCTATGATGGATAGGTGGAGCACAGTGGAGAAATTGAACATACTGTGAAAAATATTTTCTTGCATGTTTGTTGTTTGATCAGTGCTCTACAAACAAACTCACAGACAAATTACGTGAGATTGTTTATCACTTACTGTAGACACAACTTAGATATTTATTAATGTAGTTAGTAATAATGCCTTCCTTTTTTTTTTTTTTTTTCCTCCTATAGAGTAGAAGAAAGTTTCAAGACCTTATTTTGGTCAATATTTGGCTTGTCTGAAGTAACCTCTGTTGTCCTCAAATACGATCATAAGTTCATTGAGAACATTGGTTATGTTCTTTATGGCATATACAATGTGACGATGGTGGTAGTTCTGCTCAACATGCTGATTGCTATGATCAACAGTTCATATCAAGAAATTGAGGTGGGCTCTGTTCTCAAGCCGTTCTTTTTTTTTTTATGTTGAAAAAGGGCAAAATTATTAGGAATTATTTCCATGAGCACATCTTGATATGCAAAAGTATAGTGAAGAGATTACTGCAGTAAAGGAGATCACAAACAATACCATGTTCCTAGGTCTGACTTTAACAACCCAGCCAAGCTGCAGAACCTTACAGGATCTGAACATGTAGTTCATCTTGTGCCATGTAAACGTATCTAGGGAGATGCAGAAGTCTTAAAATCTAAAGTAATACTCAAATGAAGACTGCTGTGAAGTAGAAAACAAAGTTACTGAGCGTAACATTTTAGACACGAGTGGTTCATTCCCAGTTTCCTTAGGATGTTTCCTTAATGTAGTGCACTTCAATCTTTGGCACATCATTAGGATACAGATTAAATGTATTTTGATGTGTTCTTTAATGGAAATCTGTTTTTTACTTCCAATCCTGAAACTTTTTAGCTATATGTGGAGGAGTTAGACACTTATGCACAGCCATGATACGTGGACATACTTTTTATTACATTTATATGCCTCTGTATGTGGAGTATGAGACAGGTGCTTATCTTCAAAATTGTTGTGACTCAGTCACACTTCGCAATGCTTAAACGTTATTTGTAATAAGTGGGGTTTTTTTCTACTTAGGTACAATATTAAAACTTGATTCTAGGTTTACTGAGCTTTGCCATATGCCCTGAAAACACAGTGGCAGTGTTTCTCCAAATCTGCCAAATGGCTCAGTTGAATGAATGCTTGAATTTCACACAAAGTTATTGGCTGCATCACTTAGTAAGAGAGGTATATTTTATTTGAATTTCATTATGATGACAAAGTATCTTCATTTTTAAAGACAATTAATTGGAGAATTTAGCATCCAACTCCAATAAAAAATTCAGAAAATTTAAAGTAGAGAAGATACTTGGGTTTTAAAAATACATTCCAAGTTGCTGAAATGAAAGTAAAAGTATATTTATAGCTCCAGTTTGCCAGACCGTGAGTTCTGATATTATTCAGAGTACTATATTCACATAGACGCAAGTGTACACCCACACTAACAGGAAAGAAAAGATTATCTGAGACATAGTATATAAACGAAAGTGTCATTTCTGGTATTTTCAGTGACTTCCAGGAGGTGTCAGGGAATTCAACAGGGGAAAACTAGTTATAACAAACAAACTTTTCACCTTTGGAGTAAACCAAGTCCAGCCTTCGAATATTTCAGTAAGAATGTATTAAGACAAAATCAGTTTGTCAGTTTTTAACACAATTTCTTCATGACCACAAAGTTTGTTTTTTCTGTAGTCCATTATAAATCAGAGTTACTTTTCATGGCTATGTAAAAAGCAGTGAGTACTACCATTTTAAACCATGTCTGCCTTGAAGCTAATACTTTGTCACTTGTGCGAGTACCAAATTCATGTGACTGCTTCAATGGGAAAAACAAGACTTTAAAAAAACCAAAGAAGTTCCACTTTAAATAGCAAGGAGTTTATATGTTGGCTTTCACTCAGTGCAGAAATAACACTTGTTTAAATGGTTCACGTGCTTTAACTAAGTATTGTCAATGAGATGTTGCCATAAAGAGACAACTGAAATTTAGTTAAAATAGACTTGATAAAGTGGTTGCATTTTTGCAGAACTGCTGGGAGTCTTACTAGCAAGCACATAACATTTTATGTAAAACCAGAAAGGGTCAATATTTAAAAGAAGTTTCATTTGGAAGAAGTTTTGCATTTCATAGAAGCAAAGCACATTCCTGTTTTTATATCTTAACGCAGGATGACAGTGATGTAGAGTGGAAGTTTGCTCGTTCTAAACTTTGGTTATCATATTTTGATGATGGAAAAACATTACCTCCACCGTTCAGTCTTGTACCAAGCCCCAAATCTTTTTTCTATTTCATCATGAGGATCATTAACTTTTCTAAGTGCAGGAGGAGACGGCTACAGAAGGACATTGAAATGGGAATGGGCAATTCCAAATCTAGGGTAGGTACTGAAATCTTTTCATTACAGTGAAGAATTGTGTGTCCATTTCAGCATTCTGTTTTTCTTTAAGTAAGTCATTTGTGCTTCTGGTGATAGTACAGTAATTAGTCAAGCATTTATATTCATAGATCTGTATTTCAAACTGACTAAACATGCTGCATAAAACCAAAAAATAGCTATAAATTTTCTTAGGACAGCAAGGTCCAATGACTGGAAAAAGGCAATTAAAACAAAAATAACTGAGTACGCAAAGACGCAAATAATTCCCACAAGGAATGACCTAAATGTTGAATAAAGATGCTTTCAGCCTCCATTAGAAAGATTTTTAGTTCAGGGTAAAAAAAAAAAAAGGGGGAATAAGGAGAGATAATTTTTCCTTTCACTAGGACAGGAAAGAGATAAAGTGTGGTCAGTATGCTATTTACTCCCTACTGTCAAAAGCTATTTGTCTCAGAATACAACAGGAAACGGGCCGGGGGAGGGTGGATGGGTAGTAATAATCTTCAGTACTTTCATGACATTCTAAGTTTGGATATCTAAATGTTCTTTACAAATATTAATGGAATGCAGTGTCGCAATATATAGATAAGTATTCCCCTTGTTTTACAGATGGCAAAGTGGGGCACAGATGGGTTAAAGAGGATAGATGTGGCTTTTTTTCTAAGTTGGGCTCAAGGCCCTGTGTATTAACAAAGATGGAAAGCAGTACCTTGAAAATAATTTTTATTTGGTTTACTGTAAATTATCAGAAATGTCAAGTCATCTTTTCTGAAAGCTCTCTCTGGAGCCTAGGACTTCTGAGCTGGTGCTGGTACTGAATCTTCAGTAAAGAAAATATTTTCAATATTTTTCTCCAGTTTTCTGTGGGCAGTGGAAGTGGATACATATTTATAAAAATGTCAATTTAAATCACTTTATCTAGAAGCAATTTTGTGGTACTAACTGCTCATCTTTTGCTCTCTAGTGCTGCGAGTGCCTGAACTTCATTAGTTCTCTCCAGTCACTGTACAGAAGATGTTTCTTTGTTTTGTTTTTTAAACACATCAACACCCTAAGATACTTTTTTTTTTTTTTTTTGGTTAAAGCCAGTTTAGAGAGTCTCTCCTTGCTCTGGCCACTCACCCATGCCTCCAAGTCATAATTCATTATTTTCTCAGTTGTGCAAGCACATTTGTTTTGAAGCTGTGCTGTGAACAGGATGGCTAAAATTATCAATGTTAAAAAAAAAAACCAAACCCAATCCACCAAATCCAATGAATAAGTCAAGGCAATCTCAATTTTTTGGAAATAATATTCTGATATAGTGACTATGGAGACATCCCCAACATGTCTCCAAGAAAAAAAAAATGGAGCTGAATTCTAACTGCAAATTCCATAATATACTTTAATTTTGTCTTATTTCTTCCTAGTTAAACCTTTTCACGCAGTCGAACTCCAGAGTTTTTGAATCGCACAGTTTTAACAGCATTCTCAATCAGCCAACACGCTATCAGGCAAGTATATACAGTGGTCACTGTTTTGAGTAATAGAACTCTGTGAAGGTACTAGAATTTTGTCTTTCAAGTACATTTTGCCTTCACCAGATAAAGAAAACCTGTAGAGATGAATGCTATTTCCAGGATGCTACTGGAAAAAGGACAGTTATTGTTCAAGCCCCATTATTTGCAGCGTTTAGAAAACTAGCCCATACAAAACTTGTAGTTTCCTTGGAAAAAGTGAGAAGCAAACCTCTGAATCTGATTTCTGGGGAAGGGATGTGAAAGCATTAAGGTGACTAGGTTAACATTACTTTCCCTTCCTTTCTTCTCATGATTTGAGATGTGACATTCAACATTCCTACAGATGGGAATGCTCCTTTCTGGTCAGAGGAGTTTGTCAGATATTACCTTCCTGTCTTCTTGCCAGCTCAGAAAGAAAAGATTTAATAGGAGCTTTTATTCCCTTAGTAAAAATGTTGAAGGTGTGTAATTCACCTGTGCAAATTCTGTTAGATGAGTTACATTAGTTTAGGTGTGGTAACACAGTACAAGAATAATAGTATACACAAGGAACCCTGGCAGTTACGGTATAAAAACACAGATACAATCTTAATTAATCCTTTACAGCTGACATTGCACTGTCATACTGTAAAATCTCAACTTTTCTTTCTTTTTAAAAGGTAAATATTTATCTTACTATTAGACATCCTTTCACATGTGAACTGAGTTTAACAAAGAATAGACCTATTCTGAAGCTACTTAAAGCTAAATTAGGTATTCAGACATATTTTCCTGTTGTCCTGTTCCCTACAAAGAGTTATGATGCTCTGTAAATAAGAGGTAATTAGATGAGAAAGGTGCTTTATTGTAATGATGAATCTCAGCATGCCACCAAAAAAGCCTGTAAGAGGCAACTGCTTGATCTGGGGCTGTTCATTCTTTCACTTACACAGATGTGAGGGAGACATTTAAGAAAGAAAAGTGAATAGTGTTCAATTATATACGCTCACCTGATTGTATAACTGTTTTAATCTGGCAGCAAATAATGAAAAGACTGATAAAACGTTATGTTCTGAAAGCACAAGTGGACAAAGAAAATGATGAAGTAAATGAAGGTAAGAATGAGACTGCATTTGCAACATTCAGAGACAATTTTTGTCACTTTATGTTAGGAATTGGTATTACAGGTTTCAGGTAAAAAGAGGGTTTATTTCTACTTTGAACACACTGAACTTGGATAGATAGTGGTGGAAGTATGCTTGTGAACAAAAATGGACAAGTAGGACTGAAGAAGTAGACTTGAGAAATATTACGGGCCCCAGGGGCACAGACATCATGCACAGTTACAGAGGAAATTTGTGAGGAAGCCACTAACTGTGTTCACGTTTCCAGAGTCCTAGTTAGAGCTGCAGGACATCTTTTGCTCTGTTTCATTCAGCTGAACACACAATTTACCACTTTACACCATGAACTACTGGTATTTACCTTCCTTCATAAAGCTGTACGGAATATTCATCTGTGAAGTTGCACATTGTTAAACAAAGCTGCATGGTGGGAAAAATGACAACCGTAGCCACTATTTTAGTGTACAATTGGAGATCTCTTGAGAAATGATGGATCTGAGCTTGGTGTCTGTTGACAATGCAGAACTTCCCTGGCAGCAGCAAGAGGTGCATGTTCCAGGTGCATGTTCTGACTCCCCGTTGGGATGGGACCAAGGTGAATGCGGTTCTACTTCCTCCAGCCTTCTAGGAATGAAACACAGGCCTACAGGCCAAAAAAGCAAGTCTTGAGCTCTGGGCAGATCTCCAAACAAAATGACAGGGGTGTGTGCAACATGGGGCATACTTACTCTGCTCTCTAGCTAAAAAATCAGGCAATAGATTGATGTCCCTTCCAGGCTGGCTCTGCTCTTGGAAATGTAATACCCCAGCAATGGTTTTGTTCCTGACTCTTCCCCATCCTTTGTGGCTGTACAGAGCTGAGCTCATGAGTGACAAAAGCAGAGAAGCTCCTAAAAGTGTCCTCCTCTTGGTGTGCCCCCCCTCCTGAATTCTCATTGCTTTCCTCCTGTTCCTGCTCTGTGATGGGCGAAATCATCTGCCTAGTGATGGATGAAAATGCCATTCTCTCACCAACAGCACCAGGAGCGTGCAAGTCTTTCCAGTTCCCCGATGCCTGTTTGGTATTGGCATATATGTGTTTAGATAAGCAAATCAGCTAGCCCCTGAACCTCAGTCTTCAGCTGCATAGCAAAGGTCATGCCCATCTCATTGGTACCTCAAGTGTAGATCCAGCCTTTGAAGATACAATTGTTGAAATCTCCCATATTCTAAGCAGAAAACTTCTGCAGCTATTTTAAACTGGTTTAAGCTATTTAAAAGTCCAGGGATTTTTCCCTGTTTCGCACCACTAAAGAATTTAGGTATTCTTTCGCAGGCTTTATTTCATATGTAACAAATAATTTCCTGCGGTGGCTACTGTGCAAGAATTCACATATTTCACACTTGCTGGAAGAATACTATTTCAGTATTTTAAAAAGCTTCTGCTCTTTAACTGAATATCCTATAATGGAAAACATGCTGTTGCTTGTTATGAGCCTGGCCTTGACAATTGGGGGTTTTTTAATGCGTTTTTTATACTTGTGTCAAATTGTAACATAATTTTAAATTGGTTGACTTTTTCTAATTCAAAGGATATTGGTAAGGAAGAGGAGAGAGACTCAGAAGCTGTGAGTTTGATTGCCAGCTCTGCCACACTTTTCCTGTGTGATCTTAGTGCATCACTTCAGAAAAAAAATCTCTTTGCCTTTTCTCTCTAAAAGGGGGATACTAATATTTACCAGCTGCTCAGCAGTGTTGCCGTGATTAATTCATTAACCTATGTAAAGTGCTTTTTGAATCTTTGATGTTCTGTGTACACATGGAACACAACATTAGAGTTCAACGGATTATTAAAATACCTTTGGTACTATTTGGGGGTGGAGACACAGTCACATTTCATGAGAATGAGGAAGAGGTAAAGCCTCCTGTTCTACCCCTGTACCTGCTCTCATGAACATTTTGAGATATTTGAAATACGCACTGATGTGACTTAACAGTATTGAATGAATGTTAAACTTTGCTAACGAGTATTTCTTTCAATGATTAATACAGGTGAATTAAAGGAAATCAAACAGGATATCTCCAGTCTTCGCTACGAACTTTTGGAGGATAAGTCCCAAGCAACAGAAGAGTTAGCAATTTTAATACATAAACTCAGTGAGAAACTGAATCCTAACATGTTGAGATGTGAATGATTCAAGAAAGGAACCGTGGCTTCGACTACAGCACAACTATTTATTGGCAATAATATTTCAGTATCTTATACTTGAACAATGTATTGTAGATTTTTAGCACTAAATAACTTTATGTACAGCTTCTCTGGAATTTAGTCTTAGGAAATTTTATTAACTCACCACAAAAAGATTGCTCTCCATTTTAATTGTCTTAAAAGCAAGAACTATCATCATTTTTTTGCATTTATGCACTAAAAAAGTAAATGGTATCAATTGCTGGTATTTTAACAGGTTTATGAATACATCTTGAGAATTCTTTGCACTAAGTTAGCAAGAAAAAAACAAAACAGATACAGTTCCTTGCAGCAGCTGGGTACGAATAGGATTTTTCATAATACCATAAATCAACTTAGAGATCTGTGGAGGATTACTTGAAATCTTTGTTCTTTATTAGTGATGCTAGTAATGTGTATAAGCTGAGAACTCATGGTACGATTACAAGGAATTAATGAAAATCAGGTAAGTGTGAATGTAATTGTAGTAGCACTGTTTAACACACATGTATATACACATACCCACAACTACCCTTTCTTAATTCAGCATCTTTACTTTCAAGAGGAAGGACCAGAACTTTTTTTTAAAAACCAACTTTGGAAGGTAACGTGAACTGAGTCCAAAGCTACTCTTTATGTGCTAGAAATGATTTTTTTTAAAATTCAGACTCTGTGCAGGGCTGGTATTTTGTTACACTGTTCTAAATAATGCCTCCGATGCTTCATTGTTAAATAAAATATTCCTACTTTACTGATACTCCATGGCGTCCTGCTAGTTTGGCACCACAATCCGGCTTTCCCAGTGGGACCCGGTACCAGAGAGCCCAGCTACGCCCACGCCAGCCGCCCTTTTCAGGCGGAGCGGT